ATATTAGCAGCTAAAATGAGTTAAAATAATTGATTTATATTAGCAGCTAAAAAGTATTACCATAAATTATTTATTTTTAGCAGGCAAAATGTATTACCATAATTTATTTATATTGGCAGAGAAAATGTATTACAATAATTTATTTATATTAGCAGCTAAAAAGTATTACCATAAATTATTTATTTTTAGCAGGCAAAATGTATTACCATAATTTATTTATGTTAGCAGCTAAAATGAATTACAATAATTGATTTATATTAGCAGCTAAAAAGTATTACCATAAATTATTTATTTTAGCAGCTAAAATGTATTGCCATAATTTATTTATATTAGCAGCTAAAAAGTATTACCGTAATTTATTTATATTAGCAGCTAAAATTGTATTACAATAATTTATTTATATTAGCAGCTAAAATGTATTACCATAATTTATATATGTTAGCAGCTAAAATGTATTACCATAATTTATTTATATTAGCAGCTAAAAAGTATTACCATAATTTATTTATATTAGCAGCTAAAAAGTATTACCATAATTTATTTACACTACTAAGTGATTATTTATTTATTTATTTTTGCGTTAATTGTTATGTTTACATTCAATTAAACACGTTTTACTAAATTAAAATGGTGTTACTGCTTACTTCATATTGTCCATGTTATCATAGAGTGAATCCTTTTTATTACTCATGTCAAGACTGCCTCAGTGATTAGCTGAGATATCTCCCATCCTAAGTGAACCCACACTCCTACAGAAACATTGAGCAACTGGTAATTGATACTTGCTAACGATGTAATGACGTGGTAATGTAATAATGTATAAAATAGAAATTTCACAATATTTTTACACATTTTTTTTTATTAATTACACAATTATTTACAATATTATTGGTTAGTATACCTAAATTGCAATTCTCTCTGTTGCTGAGTTTGTTCGTGAATTTCATCCTCCAGATGGCGCTGTCTATTAAGTGCCTGAGAAAGCTTCACTGAGGCAGTAACTGTTTTGGCATCAGCTTCTCTCACTCGTTGTTCTGAGCGCTGTATATTGACAGCATACTCGGACATCAACCTTTCACTCTGGAATATTTGTTAGCAAATAGCAACAATAAATGCCTTGCTAAATGCTCAAATTAACGTGAAATGAAATGCTCAGAAAATCCCGTATATCACAAAGGGAAAATGATATTATTACATTCCTACCTCGACACCTTTTTGCCTGGCCTCTTGCAGGAGATCCATCAGTTCTTGGCACCTCTGTTCACTTCTCTTCAGCTCTGCCCTTTTTTCTAGTAGTGCTCTCTCAAATTTGGTACTAACAAGTTGCACTTCCTCTTTCCACCTACGGTAAAGACACGGCATCGTGAGGGATGACATTCTGCCGCAAATATGGTTCAACTCTATCAAGTATCAACCGTTATCATATCGACAGCGACTGTGAAACAATAGCATTTGAACTTCCATCCGGTAAATACCTGACGGACATTCTCTGCTGAGCGGTAAGCATGCTCCTCAGCTCAGCCAGTGCCCCGCGGTGTGACTCCTCCATAGCCTGCACCCTAGCATCCGTCTCACTCACTTTCATCTCGTACTTCTCCTCAGCTGCAGCCACCTGTAATAAGTAAATAGCACAATCAACTAGCTACACGTAGTTGTACACATGCCACGTTCGTACTTACTCGGAAGCAACAGAATATTCTACAGACCAGAATGATTTCTTGTAGACCAGAAATATTTAATTCCACTGAAATTGTAGGAATAGATAAATAAATAATACAAAAATAATAAAAATAATAATTTAAATAAATAATCGGGCCGAATGCAGCGCACCAGCGCTGACACAACGGTCGGTGGAAACAATGAACTCACACTGGTGGGTCATCTTCCGGGCGGCGCCTGTGCGCCTTAACCGTATTCCTCGGGAGGCGCGGCGGCTGTTGCAGGGTATTGTTCTGTCCAGCGGCCGCTTCAGCCGCTCTTCGCTGACCAGCTGCAGCTGTGTGGTCAGCGTGTCCACCCGCTCTCGTGCCTGCCCCAGCACCAGCCCGCCTTGCCTCTTCTCCTGCTGGTAACTATACAACGAGTAGAGACAACGTGCGTTGTTAGCTGCCTGGAAACACACATGGCAGGACTCCTCACTGATCCGCATGCAATGAATGCGGATCCCATGCACTCATGGGTACAGTCACAGATGATGGACATAAACAGACAACAGACAGTTGGAAGATGAACAGACAAAACAGACAGTTTAGAGGTTTCTGATGAAACAGGGCAAACAGACAGTAGCGGAGAATCATATGAACAGTACAACACGACAGTAGGAGATGTAACAGACAACAGGAAAGATAGGTGCGATAGTTAAACAATTATTTAGGTTAATTCCCCAGAGGAATATAGCCAAAAGTTGTCAATGAAGTGGACTGAAAAACATGCAATAGTTATGTGCAGGACCTGGACTTCCAGCTTGCTGGAAGCCGGTTCTTTAGCTTTTCCAGCTTCACGTGGCTTCATCTTATCGCCCTTCTTGCCAGCGAGTGATATCCGATCTATACAATTCATCCAAACGCTTGCTAGGACTCGCTTGACCGTGCTGCCCTCCTGGTACAACCTAGCGCACTAAAGTATCAAACTCGTTCTTGCACAATCTCTCATCCCCTAATTGAGCTGTACTTTTAAAATTCGCAAACTGATTTAAGATTACGTTTCAACCAATGCAGTGTCTATGTATTAATTTTTAAAAGTCATTATTCTCCAACTCTATCTATATCAACCAATTCTCGAACATTTTTAATGTAATTTTACATTATCTAACTGTCGGTAACTTCAACTCGGTCGTGACATTTAATGCGAAATTGCTTGAACAACATCTGCTTGCAGCTCTTGATTCTTTGACCTTCGTGATAGCCATTTCAATTGGAAGTAAAACACGAGCTTTCGATGGTGCCAGTAGGGGCCGACAACCACACCTTCCTCCAGCTTCTTTTAAGGCCTCAAACCTGATCGCCTCTCTCTTACGGGCTTGTCCAACCTCGTGCACTCAGTTGCACCTTCTCCGCCTGTTAATTCCTGGCACTTTTTTTCTTATTAATCCCACTACACACAGACACTGCTTCTTTACTGCTATTTCTTACTCGCCCATGATAGAAACCATCCCTCTACTATCCGCCCTGCAAAAAAACGTTTCTACATTTTGCAATTGTTCAATGCAATATCTATCGCACTTTTTTTTCTTTTATATAGAACCTTTATTGCCTCCTCGTGCTTGTATTTTTTACCAACTCCAGTTGTGCTGTGATGTGTGCCTCAGGTAGCCAGGCCTGAACATCCATTCTTTCAACTTTGCACTGCTTCCTATTGGCATCCCACTTGAAATATCGTTAAACTTTGAATAGCACTTTACTTACTGCAGACAATTTCATGCTTATTCTTTCTACTAATCCCCAAATCCAATTTCTCGTGCTTTAATGCCACCTCACCAACTACGCTTCACCATTTCACCTTAACCTCCTCACATCACCTTTTAACCGCCTTTCCCTTGCTTTCCTCCTTTAAGCTA